TGAAAATTCTCGTTATGAGAGATGGGAGCGATCTAACAGGCTGAGTTTGAACCTTATGAGGTTGACGATGGCGGAAAGTATTAAGCCATCAATGCCTAAGACAGAGAAAACAAGGGAATTCATAGAGAAAATTAAGGAGTGTTCACAATCGGAATTGGCTGACAAGTCGATTTTAGGAAGTCTCATGAATGAGCTAACTACAAAGAAGTTTGACTGGTCTCAGCCAATCAATGATCATGTGACACACATGTCTAATCTGGCAGAAAAGTTAACGACCTTGGGAATGGAAAGTTCATGAGCAGTTTTTGGTCCAATTCATCATGAACTCTCTACCTCTTGAATTTAGCCAGTTCCAGGTGAATTACAACACCATTAAGGAAAAATGGAACTTTAAGGAATTAAAGGCTATGCTGATTCAAGAGGAGGGGAGATTAAGGAAGATGAAAGATCAAATTGCTAACCTCGTAGGTCTTGGAAGTGCCAGTAGCAGCAAAAGGACATCAAGTAGGAAGAACAAAGGGAAGTTAAGAACTTCGTGAAAGGACCCGAAAGTCAAATCCATAAGGAAAAGAAGTGTTTCTTTTGTAAGAATGTAGGACACTTCAAAAAGGATTGTCTTTAAAGGAAGGGTTGGTTCGACAAGAAAGGTAAACATCACAGCTTTCTTTGCTATGAAAGGAATCTTGTTGAAGTTCCTAATAATACTTGGTGGTTAGATTCTCGTGCTACTACTCATGTGTCTCATATTAAACTGGGATTCAGTTCGATCCAACCCATAAGAGGACCTGAACAGTACTTGTTCATGGGAAACAGGATCAAGGCGCGAATAGAAGGCATTGGGACGTATAGATTGATCTTGGACACTGGAAGTCATGTGGATCTTGAAGGATGTCTCTATGTACCTGAGTGTGCTAGAAATCTTGTTTCTGTTAGTATGTTGGACAATTTAGGTTTTAGTATTAAGGTTGCACATGGTGTTTTCACATTGTACCGAAGTGATTACTTTTATGGTAGTGGTATTTTATATGATTCACTTTATAAGTTTAACCTTGATGCAAAGTTTTCTGAATCCCTATTTAATGTTGAAAGTAGAGGCATTAAGCGTAGTGCAACTAATGAAAATTCTGCTTTCTTGTGGCATCAACGACTAGGTCATATTTCTAAAGAAAGAATTATGAGGTTGATAAAGAATGAAATTCTTCCTCAGCTAGATTTCAGTGACCTAAATGTATGCATAGACTGCATTAAGGGAAATCAGACTAAACATACATTAAATAAACCAACCACAAGAAGCACTCAGCTTCTTGAGTAAATACACACCGGCATTTGTGGCCCTTTCGGTGCTCCTTCATGGAGTGGCGAAAAATATTTCATCACATTTATTGATGATTACTCACGGTATGGTTATACATATCTACTGCATGAAAAGTCTAAATCTGTGAATGTTCTAGAGGTATTCATTGATGAGGTCGAAAGACAGTTAGATAGAAAAGTTAAAGTAGTGAGATCTGATAGAGGTGGTGAATTTTATGGAAAATTCGATGAAAGTGGACAATGTCCTGGTCCATTTGCAAAGATACTTGAAAGTAGGGGCATTTGTGCACAGTACACTATGCCTGGTACTCCTCAGCAGAATGGTGTAGCTGAGAGGCGGAACCGTACTTTAATAGAGATGGTTAGGAGCATGCTAAGTAATTGCTCTTTACCCATTTCCTTGTGGATATATGCATTAAAGACTGCAACGTATGTGCTGAACCGGGTTCCTAGTAAGGCAGTTCCTAAGACTCCTTATGAAATGTGGACAGGAAGAAAACCTAGTTTAAGGCATCTACGTGTATGGGGTTGCCCAGCAGAAGTAAGGCTATATAGTCCACATGAAAAGAAACTTGATTCTAGGACTGTTAGTGAATTTTTCATTGGCTATCCTGAAAGATCAAAGGTATACACATTTTATTGCCCTAACCATAGTACGAGAATAGTTGATTCGGGCAATGCTAGATTCATTGAAAACGGTGAAACTAGTGGAGTGGTGAAACACGAAAGGTGAACATTAATGAAGTTCAGGTTGAAGTTTCTTCACCTGTTGTTCCACCTGAGGTAGTTGTTCCTATTGTTGCATCGGAGTTTAATGACACAATAGTACAGCATAATAATGTGCCAGTCCCATTAGCTGAAGATACTGTCGATAAACATGTCATAATTCAAGAAGAGAATAGTGAACCACAAATACCTCTAAGGAGATCTGGAAGAGAAAGAAGATCTGCTATTCCAAACGATTATGTGGTTTACACTATTGAAAATGAATGTGACTTAAGCATGGATTATGATCCGATCTCATTCAAAATGGCCATGGAAAGTGACAATTATGAAGAGTGGTTTGATGCCTCAAAAAAGAAGAGATGAAATCTATGAGTGAAAATCATGTATGGGACTTAGTAGAGTTGCCCGATGGTTTCAAAACCGTTGGTTGCAAATGGGTCTATAAGACTAAACGCGACTCAAAAGGTAAACCTCAGAGACGCAAGTCTCGCCTTGTTGCTAAAGGTTTGACTCAGAAAGATGGCATTGACTATAAAGAGACATTCTCTCATGTTTCAAAGAAGGATTCTCTTAGAATTGTTTTGGCTTTGGTGGCTCATTATGATCTTGAGCTTCACCAGATGGATGTGAAAACCGCCTTTCTGAATGGTGACCTTGAGGAGGAAATATATATGGACCAACCTGAAGGTTTCGTGGTCGCAGGAAAAGAAAATTTTGTGTGTAAGCTGAGAAAGTCAATATATGGACTAAAACAAGCTTCTCGACAATGGTATATAAATTTTAATGATACCATCACATCATATGGTTTTGTAGAGATCATTGTTGATCGATGTATCTACATTAAGGTTAGTGGGAGTAAGTTTGTGATTTTAGTCCTATATGTTGATGATATTTTGTTTGCTGCAAATGACATGGGTATGTTACATGATGTAAAGAAGTATCTCTCTAAGAACTTTGAAATGAAAGATATGGGTGAGGCATCTTATGTGATCGGGATAGAAATCTTTCGCGATAGATCACAAGGATTGTTAAGTTTGTCTCAAAAAGGATATATCAATAAGATCTTAGAGAGATAAAGAATGGAAAAATGCTCTGTAGGAATAGCTCCATTTCAGAAGGGGGACAAGTTCAGTAAAATGCAATGTCCTAAGAATGAATTGGAGCATAAAGAAATGGAAAGAATTCCCTATGCATCGGTGGTTGGGAGTTTGAACTATGTTCAGACATGTACTCGGCCCGATATCAGCTTTGCTGTTGGAATGTTGGGTTGATATTAAAGTAATCATGGAATGGACCACTAGAAAGCTGCAAAAAAGGTTCTCAGGTACTTGCAAGGCACTAAAGAGAACATTCTTACATATAGGAGATCTGATCAGCTAGAAGTCATTATGATATTCAGATTCAGACTATGTCGGATGCGTTGATAGCCGAAAATCGACATTTGGCTACTTGTTCATGTTAGCTGAGGGAGCAATATCATGGAAGAGTGGAAAGTAATCTGTCATTGCTACTTCCACTCTGGAGGCTGAATTTGTGGCATGCTTTGAGGCCACAATTCATGCATTATGGCTGCAGAAATTTATCTCAGGGCTTCGGATTGTCGCCAATATAGCCATGCCGCTGAGAATTTACTGCGATAATTCTGCAGCTGTCTTCTTTTCAAAGAACGATAAGTACTCTAAGGGTGCTGAGCACATGGAGTTAAAGTACTTGTCTGTTAAAGAAGAAGTTCAGAAACGGAGAGTGTCATTTGAGCACATAAGGACGGACATGATGGTAGCGGATCCGCTAACTAAAGGTTTACCACCCAAGGTGTTCAATGGCCATGTAGAGCGTATGGGTATTATAGATAAGGCTTTGCCATTTTAGTTATGGGATGCTCATTATGTATTTGACACAAAGAATTCACATAAAGTTATGTTTCTGATTTATTAATTATGTTATTATTAAAGTATATGTATACACTTATGGTTGTGGATAACATATGGTTGGTTTGAGAAATAAGGTGCTTCTCATATTTAAGGATTAAAATTGGAATTGATTTGTGATACATGGAAGGAACTATGTCGTTTAATGGCATACAACCGCCATGATTCGATCAATTAAAATTTTAGTAAAGACCAAGTGAACTTGATATAAGAGTGCACATTAAAGTTATTAAACCGTTAAGTCGTCGTAAAGGTCCAGTGGGAGAATGTAAGAATATTTTATATTATGTATGACCTATATGTCTATTGGTTTAATATAAAGTTCAAGTTCATATTAATGTTTATAGATTCTAATATAAAAGACAATACCGTGACTTAAAATTCGGGTGTATTGATAACCCTCCTACTTTACCTTATTATTTATAAATGTCTTTAATCTCGTAATTATATATTTATATTGAAAGTAATGATAATGGATTAAAGTGCCATTATTAATATATAAATATATATATATGAGTACGTTATACTACGGTTAATATAACGAACGGTTGTGGTGAAGTCTTGGAGAATTATGTTGGTTAACACATATCTCTTTGATTAATATAAAATGGTACTTGTACGTGATTCTACGGTACGTAGAAAAGGGGACGAGAGTCTTTTTTAAAGTACACACAACATAATACTGATCATATCAAAAGGAGAGATTAAAGAAGTTTTGGGATTTCTTGTCCATCAAGGAAATCACTAAAGAGAGGTTAAAGAGGAGAAAATCAATTTGGTGAAATTGCATCCAAGCATGGATCAAAGTTAGTGTCTTCTACCATTTTTAGAAATGTGTAAGGATTGAATTAAAACAAATGTAAATAAGGTCTTGGTGTTGAAATAGACTAACAGTAAAATCATAGAACGAAGAGAGCTCAGAAACATTATTAATCGGTTTCATTACTTTTCCGTATTATTTCATATTTTTCTCTTCTTTCTAACAACGATGAAAAGTGGAATTTTGTCTTTTCGATAATTTTGAGTTTCCGGTTATCTGTCATCTTGTTCTGCCAAAAAGAACAAAAAAGTGATTTCAAAAATTACAAAACCATCTGGTTATTTTCAGTAGTCTGCTTGAGTTATTAATTTATTTACCCATTTGGGAGTGGGACTTTCTGACAGCTTGCCGGATATTACTTTCATTCCTTTGCAAAATTTCGTCGATCTTGCCTGATTTAAATATCAACGGTCCTGATATGCTCTGTTTTCCGAACTGTAGATGCTCCTGGAGCAACAACAACAACCACCACAAGCATTTAACTTCAAACACATATATGAAATTGCATATACAAACTAGCAATTGTATATATGATCAAAAGAGTACTTACTAAGTTCTTCTTCATTGGAGAATCCTCCTCCCTTTGGCTGAAAGCCAAACCAGACCCATCAAGTGATCCGTGTCGTTTACCGGTACGGTTAAGCTTGTCCTCACTCGGTAAGTCCTCCATAATCTGATCATCGTTGTCTCCCTGAATCTCATACGCTGAGTCATTTTCTGGTTTGAGGTTCAAACCAAAAGTGTTTTTGGCAAAAGCGACACTTGTTTCGCTCAATTGACTCCTTGAGCTTGGCTGATAGTAGGTAAGAGTGGAGATATTATCAGGATCTTTTCGTCTTTTCACAGCCCACGCAAAACCACTAGCCGGTCCTGTCGTCATTGGGAGGTCAGAGAGTTTATAGTAATTTCCATTTGTTGTTGTGATGGCTCGAGAAGCCTCAGTTGTTATGTTCTTGTTCTCAAACGTGTCCTGCAAGGCAAAAAGCTTTCTTGAGGCTTAACAGACTAACCCGAAAGAGGAGTTTTAGATTAAGAGTCAAATAAAAAACCTGTCTTATTGGCAGCTTAGTGTAACCCTTTGGATCGTGTTCTGCTCTATGTGGTCTTTTTTGTTTCCTGCCAACTCCAGATTCTCGAAGCTTGAGGTTTGCCCTTTTCCTGAAAAAAAAGAAATATTCATTTATAGTCTTAAAACACATACTCTTTCCTAAAACAACAAAAGAGTCCTCCAACGTAGGTGTTTTGGCTTCAATATTTTAATTTGAAACAAAATGGATACAAGTAAAGAGAAGCACTCTGACCTGCGCATATCGTCGCGATTTTTAGCATCCATCTCTTTGTTTGGTGGATATTTAGGCAATGAAGAAGGGTCACACGCATAAGGCCTCGTCAAGAAATACTAAGAGTCAAAAGAAATAAGACGAAAAAAAATTGAGAGATGAATATAAGGGAGTAAAGGGAAACTGAAATCTTCCTCACCTCAGAATTAAGTGCAGATGAAGCAGTCCCACGCTTATATGCTTCCATAGAGAGTAAAGTTTCTAATAGAAGAACGCCAGTTGTTGATAACTCTTTGCATCGTTCTCTAAGTGTGGCTTCATAGGTATGTTGAGGCCTGAAGGAAGTTGCGTGAGGAAGCCTAGTTTTTTTCCAGAAACTATCTGGTGGAGAACCACAAAGCTTGTAGATTTTATGCAATTGTTCAATCTACAAAAACAGAAACATAATTTAAAGAATAAACTATGCATATTATTTTAGAGCTTTTCATGTGCAAGATATTTGTAATATTACCTCGGTTCTGCCTTTTAGGATTGGTTTTCCCATGAGAATTTCAGCAAAAACACATCCCACACTCCATAAATCGATTGATACTCCATAACTAGTAGATCCCATAAGGAGCTCAGGAGCTCGATACCATAAAGTCACCACACGGCTTGTTAATTGGTGTTTGTTCTTAGCCGTGACCACATTTGCTAGCCCAAAGTCTCCAAGCTTTAAAACTCCTTTGTTATTGACCAAAATGTTTGAGGCCTTAATGTCTCTATGTATTACGCCTCTCATATGACAATGCTCTAGTCCCCAGAGTAGTTGCTGCATGTAACATTTGATCTTGTATACAAAAATCAAAAAGAAAGAATCTCAAAAAATTTATCCAATGTCAGAGGAAAAGACAAAAAAAAAATTGGTTTCCATATATTTCAGGTTTGGTACCTGCGACTCGGTGAATCTGATGTCCGGATTTGAGGACAAACCGGCAAGATCATGTTCCATATACTCGAAAACAAGATAAATGCTGCTCGATGCACGAGAGGTGATAATACCCTCAAGTTTCATGATGTTGGGATGATTGAGTTTGCGTAGAATCAAAATCTCTCTTGCCATAAACCTAATGCTCTCTGGTTGAAGATTATCAAACTTTACCTTCTTCAAAGCCACCATTTTCCCGGTTTCTACTTCTCTCGCTCGAAAAACGCTACTATATGTTCCTTGTCCAATCTACAGCACGGAAAATTCATTAATCCTTTTTTTATTAAATGTTTTGGTGGTACCTTCTATTACAGTAAACCATAATGTTAACCTTCTCCAACTTCTGAAACGCCTCTGCCTTAAGAGGAACCCACCCATGAACAGCCTCAGACGCAACCTCACAAAGCCAAGATGGCCAACCAGCAGCGGCATGCTCAGCCTCTACGTTCCTATGAGCCAGCCCGGAAAGCAGGCTCTTACCAACCCTCAAATCAGAAGCGCCCAATCTTTTTGATTTCCTTGACCGCCTGTTATTGTGACTCGCCTCCAATGAATGATCAACAAAAACTCGATGGTGCTGGTTCGTGGAGGAGAAGTCCGGTTCCGGGGCGTGTTCCCTGTCTTGGACCGGTGAGGCACTCTGGTCCCCTAAATATGAGACGTTCTTGGAGCTGATGCAACCCATTTTTAGAGAAATTTGTTCAACCCCTCATGAGGCCAAAAGAGATGAAATGGGATTGCAGACAGAAAGAACAAAGAAGAAAAAAAGAGGGAAAGAGAAAAATCACATGACAAAATTATTAAAAGGAAAAGGAAACTTTTTTTTTGTTGAGTCTTCTTGCGAAAGAGAGGTAAGGGAAGCTGCAAAAACACAACCGCACAAAAAGAGAGAAAGTGAAAAGACATATTTAGCTCTGTCACCTCCTCCATTTTTTTTATTCTGTCATCTGTCTGACAGAGAGATGAATCAAATCTGTTAGTGATAGAGAAGACCTAACCCATAGGTTTAAAAACTAAGAAAAAATTAAGCTAGATTAGTTAGTTAACCTTTCCCAAGTTGTTCAAATGCCTAAACAAAAAAAAAAACAGAGTTGTCAAAATGAAAATCATCACTGACCTTAAAACATCTTCTAATGTACAAAACAACGGATCTCAAAAGATTTTTATATCATAGACCAGAAGGTGGGGTTGGATACTAAAGATTATTAAAGTTGTACAATGATAATTGTTGGTCAGGTTCATTACTTTAAAGGTCTTCTTCAGTCAAAAGGAACTTCAGCAAGAAAGAAATGTATACTCTTTATGCATTTTTTATTGGAGATCAAACATTCTATAGTTTATATACAGTTGATATAAATAGATTTTGTTACCACTATACATACATTTCTGGCAGTACAAGAACATATATTTGATTGAAACGTTTGCGCACCTCGAGCACAATGGTTGTAATGTCTCTTACATCTGATGTTGGAAAAATGTTATGTGTCGCTCATACCAAGAGTTCAGAAAATTCTTATAATTTCATTGGTTGAAAGCTTTTGATTTTCTCCATTTTTTTTAAACATTACAGATTATTAAAATCAGAACATACTAATATACATTGTCAAACAAAGAGTTAACATTTACGCTTTGTCCTTTTTCGCAACCTTTTCTCTCATTTGGTCAGGAAGAAAAAAAAATTCACCACAAAACTCTAGACGAGAGAAGATGTCGAATTTTAGATACTCGATTTGGTATCGCATCGGAGGATTTGTAGATCTGATGGAGAAGATCTAAACGAGAGAAGAGGAGAGGAGAGGAGATGAGAGGGAGTCATGTTGGATATTGATCAAGAGAACAAGAATCATATTTTAGAACCTGGGGAAAAGCTTATTGATCCATCTTCTTCAATCGATGAGCTTCTTTCTCTCATTGACGTGAGCTCTCTTCACTAATCAAAATTTCTTTTTATAATTTTAATTCGATTTAGGGTTTCTGTGCGATAAAAACAAAATTCCCTTTTATAATTTTAATTCTATTTGGGGATTAGGGTTTCTGTGTGATAAGAACATCTTTATTTTAGCAAAACCAGAGAAAGAAAGGTTTTTGCCTTGCCGTACAACAAGCATGGAGGAAACTGCTACCAGGTTTTTTTTGTTAAAAGACTGCCAAACTTGTGTATACTTATGTATATACTTATTTGATTATATATATTTTATATAAGAATTCTTAAACCATTAAATTTATTTATATAAGAATTGTTAAACCATCTTAAATGTAAACAAATTAATATAATTTATTTATAGAAACAATTAAATATCATAGCGTACATATAATTAGATATAATACTACAGAAACAATTATAAAAACGGGGTTTTATATATATATATATATATATATATATATATATATATATATATATATATCAGTAATGAATACAAGAAATCATAGATTTCATAAGCTTTATTAATCTAAACATAATTATATTAATTATACCACTTATTCACTATATATAATATTAATGATTTTTATTGAAAATTTAAAAATTATATTAGTATAAAATTTGATTGGTTTTTGACTTTAGTAGTTATTTATTTTAATCATATCTAAAAATAAAAAGTAACTCTTAGAACTAATTAATACAAATTACCAAATAACACAAGTAATATTACAAATAATGATTTATGGTAACTAATTTTAGAATTAGAAAAATAATATATATATATATATATATATATGTTTTATCAATTTATTTATATAGAATTAAATAAAATAATTTAAACATTTTTAGATTTAAAATTAATAGTTATAAATCTTTATATAAAAGAATTAGATTTGTAGGTAATGAACTATTAGAACTTTTTATGTTTTTAAAGCCCGCACAAAAACGTTTATGAAAGATCTTCATGATCAAAGTCTCCCATCGTATTGGTCATATTGAAGCTACACAAAAAATACTTTTTTTCTCTCTCGAAAGCTAGAATATTTCTGGTTTTTCATGTGTTAAAATAAAATATAAAGTCATTCTACAACCAATTATCTGAATTAATTATAATATTGGTTTTCTGTAGGATACAGATTTTTAATGACTAAGGATGTTATTGATTTATTTTTAAAACTCACCTATCTTTTAAAAATATACACTGAAATTTTTGATTATCTAATTATTTGAAGTTAAAAATTAAATTTAATGTTTCTAATTATTCTTCAAAAATTATAACAGTATAAACATAATATATATATATATATATTTCATCATATAATATAATTACCCGCAAAATTTCGGGCAAACACATAGAACATGAATATAATATTAAATATACAATTAGAACTGAATACTATAAAATCATAAATATAATATTTCACCTAAAATATACAATTACAATATTCATGCAACACAACTTCACTTAGTGATAATATAAAATATATAACTTCTAAAACTGAACACTATTTTTTTTTCATATTTTGAATATTATATGCCTGCACAGGCTACTTCCGGAAGATGAGCTATGCAACTCATTCTTTATCTCAGCATTAAAACTCTCACTTATCTCACTTTCTTCCACATTGAAGATGCACGGTATGTCAGTATCAGCTTTCTTGCATTTGCAATACATGGAGATCAATGAGTTCAATACTGAAACATTTCTATCAAGATCTAACTCGACCGATATCACACTATATTTTTATGCCAGCACAGGGTGGCTGATATCATCTTACAATACTAAAAGGAAAATCTTACAATACTAAAAGGTTTCCGCAGATTTTTGAGAAACCTTTCTGCTTAGTTTTTGATTCTTCTGTGTGATAGTTTCTTGGAGTCACTCACGGAGTTTTACCAAAGGTTGTTTCACCGAAAGCAAGTCGCAAACGTTTTAGCGGGTTTCTTGAGCAGAACGAATCACTTGACCAGAAATAGGATCAGTCAACGAGCAGGGAGGATGTGTTCTCTATTGCTGCTTTGTGTTCTCGATTTTTCTTTTGCCGCAATATTTTTGACATTATTGCGTGACTCACTTGGTTCGGCGGAAAATGAGAGCAATGCTTTGATGCCTAAAGATTTCTCGTATAATTTTCCGATTCTTATATGAAACTTGTTTTATCAAGTTGGCAAAGATCTTTACAACTTCGGAAAATCATCAAGTTTCACTCTGAGGTTTGGCAGAGGTTTTCTAAACGCATGACTGCGATGATAGATGCTGTATAGTCCTCGATTTTGTTTCCCATAAGGTTTTGATCAGTTCTTAGTGTTTAGACGAATCTTAGATTGTCGTTTGCTTTTGGGATGATTTTGACGAGGTATCGTATTGTTCGAATATTTTTCCGCATTGTTTTTTGTGAGAGTTTGCTTTATAGAAAGAGTTTTCTTGATGCGGAGAAAAATGTTTTTTTTCGATTAAAAAGCGAATATTTTAAAATTTGGGAGTATACAAATACTCATATACGCACCCACTCGCCCTCCCCCCGTTTCAGAAAGGGGGATAACTGAAATCGTCTTTAGGCGAGCTGCGCGCCTACGTATTCCTTTCAGAAATCAAGCCATCTCGCAGTTCTAATTGTTTGTGTGAGTGTGTTTACTCGGCTGTCGCAGACTTCTCGATCACTTTAGTTTCTGGATCGGCGTCTTGGTCCGGGTTTGTCTCTTCCGGTTGGGTCGAAGCGATGGGTTCGGAGGCTTGTTGCTCCTCGACCGTTGCTGGTTTTGGGTTGTTTTCCGCGGGCGGCGGCGTGAACTTCCCCGTTTCGGTTTCACGATTGCGATCGCCAATTGCCTTAGCTTATGTTCGGTTAAAAAGCAAGATCAGGATTCTCTGCCATCCCCAAATTGCCGCGACTCTCGTAGGGGTCGGAAACTTGATGCCTAAGTGGTATGTCGACAGAACCGCCTTCATGGAGTTTATCCAAGGCGTGCCCATGATCACGTTGTAGATAGCTGGGGAATCGATGACTGAGAAGTTGACGATTTTTGTCACTTCTTTCACCGCGACCGGAAGCCGGATCGATCCTAGGGTCATAGACGTTTCGCCGGAGAAACTGGTCAGCAGCTTTTGTATTCGCTCGAACTCCGATAAATTGATTCCCATGCTCGCCAACGTGTTGCGGAAGATTATGTTGATGGTGGTTCCGGTGTCGACCAGGATTCGAGCGACTTCTAGGCCGCTTATGACTAAGTCGATGACGAGAGGATCGGCGTGTGGTTGATCGATGCCGCCGGTTTCTGCGTCGTCGAGCTGACCGTCCCAAGCCTCGATCTCCCGCATCCTTGACGTAAGGGAGTATATAAGGAAAGATAACGATAAAAGGAAGATTCTTGATAAACTCGAATCTGGGCAAAATGGAAGGACTAAACCGGCAAGGAAGGGAGTATATAAGCAAGAGACATAGGGCAGAAGCAAGGGACGATTTTCAGAGCTCTCATCTGAGACTTTTAGAACTTTTCTAGACTTAGAATTTTCCGCACTTAGAAACTTAGGGTTTTTTTCTCGACAAGTTCGGTTTCTATGACTGGCGCTCAATTACTAGACGAACTCGCCCAGGCAGTTCGATCTCTGGTCCAGCTCAATCAACTGAACTACGTTCGACTTGATCCTCGAAAGGGGTACGTAGGCAGCCTTTCATAAGGTTCAGTCCAAAATCAATTAAACCCTTTTTCTTATCTTTTTTCGTCTTTCGTTCGCGAGCTGCGACTCGACAAGATATAGGGTTTTATGTTGGTAATTTGCTGATGGCCCCCTGCGGCCAAAGCCTTTGTAATTCCCTATAACGATCGCAACGCTCTTACGCGAATCGGAAATAAGATCGGCTT